CCTCTTAACCTCTGACGCAGTCCTCATCCAATATAGTGAGACCCTACTGCTGACAATTACATGTGACGCATCGCCTTTTGGAGTGGGGGCAATCCTCAGTCATACCTTACCAGACAGAAGAGAGGCACCCATCGCCTTCTTTTCAAGAACCTTGTCCAAACCAGAGAGAAACTACAGCAAGCTGGACAAGGAAGCCCTAGCGATCGTTTCCGGAGTGAAAAGGTTCCACAAATACGTCTACCGTAGGACCTTTTCAATCATTACTGATCACAAACCTCTGCTAGGCATATTGGCAGGCAACAAGGCCACCCTGAACATCCTGTCACCTAGGATGATTAGGTGGTCCGAGTTCCTGGCTGCCTACAATTACCCGCTCACACACTGCCCCGGTAAGGACATTTTGCACACCGATGCCTTAAGCTGTTCCCTCCTTCCGGACGTGCAAGACAACCCAGCACCCTCAATACCAAACCTCCAAATAGAAACTTTACCCAGCCCAATCCTCACCGCGCCAGACATTGCCCACGAAACAAAAGAAGACAAGCAGCTGGCGCAAGCCTTGGGCTGGGTAGAGTGGGGTTGGCCAGAAAATGACAAAGACGAACTTTTTAAGGCCTTCAGGAACTGGCAAACTGAACTTTTTTCACAAAAAGGGTGCATACTTTGGGGAAACTGGGTGGTAATACCAGAGACATTGCAAAATAGAGTACTAGACATGCTGCATGAAGGGCACCCGTGCATCATCCAAATGAAAGCCCTGGCCAGAAGTTACGCTTGGTGGCCAGGGATGGACAAGCAGATCAAAACATGGGTAGCCACATGCAACAGTTGCCAACAAACACGATCCACCTCCCCACAGCACCACCCCTGAAATGGGGAACCACTAGAGGCCCCTGGTCAAGAATCCATGTTATTCAAATTGGCTGGAAGTTTGCACCATAAAAACAACAACTATGGAAGCCGTCATAACGAAATTAAACAAACTCTTTGCCACACACGGTTTGCCAGATGTGCTAGTGTCCGACAATGGGCCACAGTTCACGGCACTGGCATTCGAACAATACCTGGCTAACCGCGGCATCAGACATGCTTTAACATCACCTGCTCACCCGGTGGCGAATGGGCGGGTGGAACGAATGGTTCAATTTACCAAAAAAACCATACAAAAAATAGAAGACGGCGACATTCAGCAAAAAATTAATAAAATGCTACTAATACAACATATCATGCCCAACACAACCACAAACAAATGCCCAGCGGAATTACTTATGTGCAGAAGACTCCGCTCACCACTAGACCATTTACAGCCCACGTATAATCCAGAAAAGCCCCCAGGTTCCACCAGCCGACATCGAGCATTCAACATCGATGACACCGTGTTTGCAAAAAGTTTTACTGGAGACCCCCTCTGGTTACCTGCACAGATCACCCAAATAACCGGACCCCGGTCATAACTCTTAGAAACAACTGACGGGCGAAGCTGGAAATGCCACATCGACCAGCTACTCTCAAGGCTGACCAGCACACCTCACACGGACTATAACAAAGGAATCAGAGAGGGGGGGAAACATCAAACATCAAAAAAGAAAAAAACTCAATGCAAATAGAACACCCCCCAAACAGAAGCCAAACAATAAACCAACCATACTCACCTGAAGACACAGAACCGTTGCAGACGGGTACTTCACCTGGAAGGAGTAGCCAGACAAGCTCGACAGAGCCCAGAGAAATCAGGCGGGAGCGGTGGAGCGAACGACTCGACCAACCCGGGCGAACCAGGCTGGAGTCGCAGCTATAGGCCTGGCTCACCCTTCCAGGCAGTTCCACCAAGCTGTTTGAGAGCGACGCGGAGCCCGTCGAACTGATTGACGACCAGAGATTTACTGAAGTGTACAGGTTAAGTAGGCTGGTCCGGAGACCCACCTACCTACGTGACTACGTCACCCCGCCCCTTGGACAATACCAAGAGGGAAGGGGTGTTCCATATTCACAGGCTTGAAACCCTGCATTCCTATTGGTCCGTTTAAGCCATTACCTGATTGGACAGCCTGGGTGGCCAGGATTGGCTCGCTAGGAGTCTTCCACAAGTGGTTGAAACCAACTGCGGGAAACTCAAAGCAGCATCATGGGCCGCCGAGCCGCGGCGAGCTCTATAAAAGAGCTGCCGCGAGTGCTACTTCTCTCGCTCAGACCTAGCCGTAAATAAAGAGTTGTTGTTCACTTGGCCTGAGTCTCTCGTCTCTAGGAGCCTGACCTTCCAAACTTAACAGACACTGTTGGGTCCTATTATGTTGATTTTATCTGAGCAGTCTTATGCATTTCACATACTGGTTGTATTATAGTTGTAATTTGTGTTCTGTTTCTATTGGTTGCTAGCTGCCCAGGGACAATTCCTCAAGATGGATAGGCATGCAAATTGAGAATAATACTCATACTACCAATACTAATATTGTTAATAAGAATTCTCCTTGTGGTTTTTCTTGCCTAAGTATAGGGCTTTACTTTTCTCTACGTTGAATTTCATTTTCTTAGATACGGCCCAGTGTTCTAGATATATCATCTTAAATAAATTTTCTTTTAAATTATAATTTAATGTACACTTTAAACCTTTTGTCCACATATTCTCCCATTGTTGAAGCACAACATTGTATCCAAAATTCCCTGCTCTCCTAATTATACAGTTTCTCTTTCTTTACATCTTCACTATTCAAATTCAATGACAACTATGTTTTATAAACCTTAGCAGTAATATGTTCACCACTACCACAGAGTAAGATTATCAATTCATTTTTAACAAAGTCATTTGTTGAAATTTCTGGTCAGATTTTGAGGAAATAATAACAAAAGTAGCAACCAATTATACTTCCTCAAAAATTTGACAATATCTTATGATGATGATTTTATCTATTCTGTTGATGTGACTCTTGGTAATTCTCTGAGCCAGGTCTCTCCACATCTTCAGAACTTGCATTGTATCTTTTGAGTTTTTCTATGCTCTGGCTTGTGTCCACCTTAATACTATTCAATCAACATGTTCTTTGATGGCCTGGTTTCCTTTTATCATTAACTCTTCCAACCAGTGGTGGGATTCAATTTTTTTCACTGGGTGTGGCTTGGTGGGTGTGGCATGGCTTGGTGGGCATGGCTTGGAGAACGTGGCAGGGGAAGAATACTGTAAAATCCCCATTCCCTCCCCACCCCACTAACCTGCTTTCCAGCTCCATTCTTCTGTCCAGGGCAATAAAAGAAGACCCAGACAATCAGCCGGGACTTGGAAGGCAGAGAATAGATGTGGGGAGGGGCAGTCAGAGGTGATATTTGCTGATTGTCCAAACTACTCAAAATTTCTGCTATTGGTTCTCCAGAACTGGTCAGAACCTGCTGAATACCACCTCTGCTTCCAACCGTAATTGCTTTCTCTGGTAAATTCCCCCACATGACAGGACCAAGATAAGTGAGACAATACCTAATGAGACTTATTTTATTCCCTATCAAACTCCAACTTAGTGCATAGGAAATGGTGTTTCAAAGGAAAACATTCACCCCCTTGTGTTAAAGATGAGGAAGGAAGACATCTTAATAATTTTGCAAAAAAGATTCAAGCCCAGAAGGTTTCATGGGAATGGAGATTTGCAAGTTCCAATATCTGGCAGTCTTGACATTGCCCAACGGAGGGGAAGGGGCTTCAGGCATCAGGGGATTTTATACAGATTAATGTAGAAAGACTTAGGAAGCACGAAGGTTCAGGTTTAAGCACACTGAGTATAAATGAAATGGTGAAATGGAGAAAGAATGAAAAAATGAATAACGTAGAAAGGAATGAGACTGAGGAAATTCGGTCATACTGAAGGAAATAAAAAGGACTGAGTGTAAGCAACTCACAGTAGAGAAAGTTATTCAGAGGCTTTAGAGTCACTTCCTCTCACTGTGTATCTTGCACAGAAATAGACAGCCGTATCCTCTGGTTTGAGGCTGTTCAACTGCAGATACAGCTGGCTTTTGGCAATGTCCTTGGAGATGGTGAAGCGGCCCTTCACTTTGTCAGAGTAGTAAATATCTGAAGACCATACCTATACTATGGCCAACCATTCAAGGTCTTTCCCTGGAGCTTGTCTCACCCAGCTCATCTCATGGTTGCGGAAGGTGAAACCAGAGGCTTGGCAGGGGAGATGGAGGGACTCTCCAGGTCTTCTCACATCCCCTCCAGACTCCACCAACTAGAATTGGGAATGGACTCCTAAAAAGAAAAGTGTTTCAATGAGATTTTCTGTATATTGAAAGAAAACGCTGGATAACGTGAAATATTAGATCCTCAGATTGACACCTAAAAAGAGGTATTTTTCCAATGAGATTTCCTGTATATAAAACAGAAATTGGAAGGAAACTCGAGATAGAGTGAAACCTTACCTCCAAGGAATACAAGGAAGAATAATAAGATCAGGCAAAGTGTCATTTCTGCCTCTCTCTAATAAAAGGAGGATATGTGATAGAAAAGGATTCAAACTTTGTGTTGGTGGGTGTCAACCTTTGCCTTTAAAGGGGAAATTTAAAGAGTATGATTTTCATGGTTGTCCTTGTACAGGCCTTGCACAGTTGATATTTAAACAATTTTCCAGCCAAAAGGAAAACGAAGCAGCCTTTACAGAAGAGTAATTAAATCAAAGACATATAAATTTTCTCCACTTCTTAATAGTGATTCATGGGAACAAATGATGAACATGCATTGATAACATTTGAAACATTTGAAATAACATTTGAACATTTCATTTTGGGAAACATGAAAACATCAGTCCACCTGAGTTTAGGAAAAGTTTCATACATTTTCCTTTTAATATGATATTTTTAGAAACCCAGAAGAACTGAATGCGGATGAAGATCATTTTTGCTTTGGAGGCTATTTTACTGTTTTGTTTTGTATTTCTGTCAGTTGTTATGCCTCCAGAGCTGATATGCCAAGAAAGGCAGTGATGAAAATTGAAATAAGAACAATGGCAAGAGGAATACTCGTAAGAATTGTAATAAAAATGTTACTAAAAGCACTCACAGTACATAAGAATAATAAACCTCTTTGAGGAAGGAAGGAAGGAAGGAAGGAAGGAAGGAAGGAAGGAAGGAAGGAAGGAAGGAAGGAAGGAAGGAAGGAAGGAAGGAAGGAAGGTTAAAAATGTAGAAACTGGTTGGAAAGAAATAAAAAGAAGAAATGGCAATAGTGCGTTCTGTTGTAGAATTTAATCTGGGTCATTCATTTGGGCCAGAAGTTTAATTTTCTGAGTTTTGGACACGTGCCGGCGACATTCAGGAAAAAATTAATAAAATGCTACTAATACAACATATCACGCCCAACACAACCACAAACAAATGCCCAGTGGAATTACTTACCCATTTTTTCTCATTGTCCCTTAATTTATGGATAAAAATGATATCTCTGCATTTTCATTACACTGATATAGACACAAACACATAAATACGGGCTTATCCATGTAAACATGAAGATAGACATTATTTTTTAATTATTCATAGAATGAGTTGCCTCACATTTGTTTATTATTTATTTTAAAATAAAGTTTATTTAAGATTCATACATTTAAAACATTTATAAAACAAACAAACATATAAACAAATATATATACATATATACATTTTGCAGCAAAAATTGAGCAATGGTTACACATTTTTTTTGTCCCCCTAACATTGAAGTGATCTGCCTTGTTACAATACCTTCCTCGTTTTTTTAATGCTTTAATATCAAAAAATACTTTATGATTAAATGCATGTCTTCCATAATTTCATAACTTATCCAGTTGTCAAATATTGCCTTTTCTTTAACCATTCATACCAGCAATTCCATGTTTTATAGTAATCACTATCTTGGTTATTTTTTAGTAATTTATGAGCTTATCCATATAAACATAAAGACAGACATTATTTTTTTTATTATTCATAGAACGAGTTTCCTCACGTTTGTTTAAATTGAATTCTTGCTTTGCAATGTTCAAGTAGGGCAGTTGAATTTCCTTTCTGTAGTCACCTTCCAAAATCCAAAACTCCATAAAATGAGACTTCAGGATTCATTTCATTTCATTATAGATGAAAGAAACTGATGGATTTAAATGTGTGTGGAGCACTTCATGTCAAAACTTCTGATTTGTAGGTTGTGATAGGAGTAACCAATTAGTAGTGACAACAAGAGAGGAAGACAGACCCAGACCCAAATATGAATAATGTAGAAAAGAATGAGACAGAGGAAATTTGAATGTATTGAAAGAAAAGCAAAGGGACTGAGTGTAAGTAAACGTAAGCTGCTTAGAAGTAGAGAAAGTTCTTGACAGGCTACAAGTTCACTTCCTCTCACTGTGTCTCTTGCACAGTAATAGACAGCCGTGTCCTCTGCTTTCAGATTGTTCATCTGCAGATACAGCTGACTTTTGGCATCATCCCTGGAGATGGTGAAGCGGCCCTTGACTTTGTCTGAATAATAAGTGGAAGGATTTGAGCCTGTACCTATGTAGGCTACCCATTCCAGTCCTTTCCCTGGAGCCTGTCTAACCCAGTTCACCCAGTAGCTGCTGAAGGTGAACCCAGAGGCTTGGCAGGAGAGACGGAGGGACTCTTCAGGTCTTCTGACATCACCTCCTGACTCCACCAACTGGACTTGAGACTTGGCACCTGAAAAGAAAGGTGTATCAGTAATCTGTTCTGTATACAAGAATTAAAATGGAAGGAAGCTGAATAAGGAAGAAACAATTACCATGGAGAAATGCCAGTAAGGACACCAAGTTTAGCCACAGAAGCATTTTTGCTCTGTGCAATGAATGGTGGGGAGTTGACCAAAAAGGATTCAGGAAAGTGCACAAACTTTGTCTTGGTGGGTGTAGCCTGAAAAGGAAAATCAATTGGCTCTTTTAAGGGGGAAATTGTGACTTGATTTACATATTGCTTGAGATAAAAGAACTCACTAATGAATTTGCTTTCCAATTTTCCTGAATACTCTCTACTGTGTTGATTTAACTTTATAACTTTTCAGTTTACGAAAAGTGAAAGCAACCTTTCAATTAGAGTAATAAAAACAAAGCCTTGTACAAAAGAGATTCAAGGGAACAAATAATGAACGAATGCTAAGAACATTTGAAAGAGACATTTTAAAAATTATGAAAAAACCACACATCTCAGTTCAGGAAAGGTTTTAAACATTTTCCCAATTTAATATGAACTTTTGAAGAATCCCAAAAAGAACTGAATGCAGACCAAGATCATTTTGATTTTAGATCCTATTTTATGTGGCTGTTTTTGTCAGTTGTTACTTGCTCAGAGTTGATTTGCCAAGATGGATAGCCATAAAAATTGATGATGATGATGATGATGATGATGATGATGATAATAATAATAATAATAATAATAACAATTTTAAAAAGTTTTCAAATTTTGTAGAATATAACATAATAAAAAACCATTTTGTAAAAGGAAGGATAGAAAGAAGGAAGGAGGAAAGGGAGGGAGGGAGGGAGAGTTAGAGGCCGGGAGAGGGGATGAAGGAAGGAAGGAAGGAAGGAAGGAAGGAAGGAAGGAAGGAAGGAAGGAAGGAAGGAAATTTTAATGTTCAAAATGATGAGACTGAAAAGAAACAGAAGATAAGGATCTTGGCATTTCTTCTGCAGCAAATATAAGTATATTTATAATAGTAACTCTGCTCACAAAAAAGAGCTCGTGTTTTTCTATTATCCATTATTTTTAATCATCAAAACCATGAATCATGACTGCAATGTTTTCTGTTTCATGCAAATTTTATAAACAACCAACAACTTCGATTTAGCCTTCTTGGCAGTTATCATATATAAAAGAAAAGTTTAATGGGTTCTTTTTTTCTAATTGCCTGTCTATTAGTTCAAAGAGAAAAGTTTCTGCTTTCAGGTGTAGCTTTACCCTCAAAATCGTCTGGGTTAATGTACATATTTAATGTCTACTTTTTTTTTTTTTTGTGAATTGCATTCAGATGTTCAAGTCACAAAGTATTAATGAAAATTTTTTACTGGCAGAGTAGAAATAGTTGGACACTGTTGGCTCCTGTTATGTTGATTTTATCTGAGCCGTCCTATGCATTTCACATACTGGTTGTATTATAGTTGTAATATGTGTTCTGTTTCTAATGGTTGCTAACTGCCCAGGGATGATTCCTCAGGATGGATAGGCATGCAAATTGAGAATAATACTAATACTACCAATACTAATATTGTTAATAACAATTCTCCTTGTGGTTTTTCTTGCCTAAGTGTAGGGCTTTACATAGGGCTTTCTCTACATTGAGCTTCATTTTGTTAGATACGGCGCAGTGTTCTAGATATATCATCTTAAAGAAATTTTCTTTTAAATTATAATTTAATGTACACTTTAAACCTTTTCTCCACATATTCTCCCATTGTTGAAGCACTACATTGTATCCAAAATTCCTTGCTCTCCTAATTATACAGTTTCACTTTCTTTACTTCTTTGCTATTCAAATTCAATGATAACAATGTTTTATAAACCTTAGTAGTAATATGTTCACCACTACCACACAGTAAGATTATCAATTCATTTTTAACGAAGTCATTTGTCAAAATATCTGATCAGATTTTGAGGAAATAATAACAAAAGTAGCAACCAATTATACTTCCTCAAAAATTTGACAATATCTTATGATGATGATTTTATCCATTCTGTTGATGTGACTCTTGGTAATTCTCTGAGCCAGATCTCTCCACATCTTCAGATCTTGCATTATATCTTTTGAGTTTTTCTATGCTCTGGCTTGTATCCACCTTAATACTATTCAGCCAACATGTTCTTTGATGGCCTGGTTTCCTTTTATCATTAACTCTTCCAAACAGTGGTGGGATTCAATTTTTTTCACTACCGGTTCTCTGGGTGTGGCTTGGTGGGTGAGGCATGGCTTGGTGGGCATGGCTTGGAGAGCGTGGCAGGGGAAGAATACTGTAAAATCCCCATTCCCTCCCCACCTCACTAACCTGCTTTCCAGCTCCATTCTTCTGTCCAGGGCAATAAAAGAAGACCCAGACAATCAGCTGGGACTTGGGAGGCAGAGAATAGATGGACGCGGGTCCAGTCAGAGGTGATATTTGCTGATTGTCCAAACTACTCAAAATTTCTGCTATTGGTTCTCCAGAACTGGTCAGAACCTGCTGAATACCACCTTTGCTTCCAACCATAATTGCTTTCTCTGGTAAATTCCCCCACATAACAGGAGCAAAATAAGTGAGACAATACCTAATAAGACTTATTTTATTCTCTATCAAACTCCAACTTAGTGCATAGGAAATGGTGTTTCAAAGGAAAACATTCACCCCCTTGTGTTAAAGATGAGGAAGGCAGACATCTTAACAATTTTGCAAAAAAGATTCAAGCCCAGAAGGTTTCATGGGAATGGAGATTTGCAGGTTCCAATATCTGGCAGTCTTGACATTGCCCAACGGAGGGGAAGGGGCTTCAGGTATCACAGGATTTTATACAGATTAATGTAGAAAGACTTAGGAAGCACGAAGGTTCAGTTTTTTTTTTAAAGTTTTTATTGTTTTTTAACATACAAACAAACAGACAAAACATAAAAACATCAGCTCCCCCATATTTATATACAAACAGGGAGTCGGTTGGTTCATCAGTTTTGTGCATTCACTTCATAGTCACAATTACAATTACCTTATATAATAACTCTTATTGTCAATACAAACTTATAAATCATCATATCATTATTTAAAAAAAAAGAAATTTGACTATACTTTTATTCGATCATGCCTTTGTGAGATAACTATATTTTAAGTAATTTATTCTAAAACAAATCATATAATCATGCCAGTTCTATCCTAAATAAGAAAAAAAGAAAGAAAAAGAAAGCCATTATATAGATATGATATCCAATACCAAAAAAGAGAGAAAAGAAAAATGAGCTCAATATTATTCCTTATTATCTAACATTTCAAATATTCTATTTTTGTATTTCATCATTCAGCCATTGATAGAAAAGATCCCAAATTATATAAAATTGTTTATCTTCTTGCTCTCTAATTTCAAAAGTCAATCTACTCATCTCAGCACATTCCAATATTTTCTTTATAACTTCTTCCTGCAATGGAATTTTCTCATTTTTCCATTTTTTTGCAAATACAATCCTAGCCGCAGTCAATACATTTACAATCAAATATTTCAACTCTTTACTATAGACATCTGGTAAGATTCCCAATAAAAAAAACTCCGGTTTCAAGTCTATGTGCTTCTTTGTCATTTTTTCCAATCACATGTGGATTTTAGTCCAATATTTTCTAGCATCCTCACAAGTCCACTACATATGGTAGTATGAACCAGGTTTCTGATGACATTTCCAGCATTTTTCGGATTTGTTCTTGAACATTCTTGCTATCCTTGTCGGGGGAAAATGCCACCTGTAAAACATCTTATACAAATTTTCTTTATAGGCTATAGACATTGTCATTTTATAATTTTGCAACCATAATTTCTGCCATTTCTCTAAATCAATCCCATATCCAAAATTCCTCCCCCAAGCAATCATAGTTTCTTTAACTTGTTCTTCCTCCAACTTAATTTCCAATAAGTAACCATATAATTTTTTAATCACCTTTTCATCAGTACCCATCAAAATCTTATCTAAATCAGTTTGTTTATCATAAAATCCCTCTGTTTTGGAATCCTCATGATACTTTGCGTGTATTTGCAAATATGAAAACCAATTCATCTGTATACCTTGTTCCTCTAATTTTTGTATCGATTTAAGTTCACCCTTTTCATCTAGTAATTCCCCATAGCTAACTGTTTGTTCCTTTTTATAAATTATAGGGTAAGAAAACGCTTCTATCGTCGATAACCAAACTGGAATTTTCAAATAACATTGTTTCTTTGTCTTCTCCCAATTTAACCACAGAGACTCCCGTATATAATGTCTTCTAAAATACCCCTGTGTTTTGGTTCCCTTATATCATAAAAAAGCATGCCAACCCAGCAACAAATCATGACCTTCTAATGTCAACAATCTAGTTTTCCTTAATGTTATCCATTCTTTAACCCACATCAAATTTGCAGCTTGGTAGTACAACTCCCAATTAGGCAGGCCAAACCCTCCTCTGATTCTGGCATCCTGTAAAAGCTTTAACTTTATCCTTGCTTTCTTGCCTTGCCATATATACTTCAAAACCATTTTATTTAAATCCTCAAGATAGTCTTTTCCAAGCCTAATTGGTATTGTTTGAAACAAAAATAAAATTCTGGGTAGAATATTCATCTTAATTGTTGAAATCCTTCCTATTAATGACAATTGCAGGTTTCCCATTTCTTCAGATCTTGGGCTATCTGTTGTTTAAGTTTAATATAATTGTTCTCCTTTAGTGTACTACATCTTGGCGTCAAATATATCCCCAAATACTTAACCTTATTTGTAACTTGAATTTTTAACAATTCTGCCAGTTCTTCTCTTTGTCTTAGCAACATATTCTTTGACAAAATCTTTGTTTTATCTTTATTAATTTTCAGACCGGCCACCTCCCCATATGCCTCTATCTTTTCTAACAGCTTCAAGGCTGTTTCTATAGGATCTTCCAGGATAAAGACTAAGTCATCTGCAAAGGCTTGTAACTTAAATTCTTCCTTTTTAATTTTCATTCCTTTTATAGTTTTATCTTCCCTAATATTTCTGTTCAACACTTCCAAAGTCAATACAAATAGCAAGGGAGAAAGAGGACAACCTTGTCTTGTGCCTTTTCTTATACTAATAGGATCTGTGAATTCTCCCTCCATCATTACCATAGCTGTTTGTTCATTGTAA